ACCCCTGGTCCCGCCCCCTTCCGCGGCACTGGTAAATCGGTGTCCGCTCCCTCCCCCCTCGGCTTCTATGCAGCCCCGGTGTTCCTGACTCCCCGGTCCTCCCGGTATGGGGCAGTCCCCGCTGTCCGTGAGCCCCCGGTACCAGGCAGACCCTGAATTCCACAGGTGCTAAGAAGCTCCCAGGGTCTCCTGAACGGGACAGCTCCGTTATCCCCCGGTATCAACCAGTCCTGGTTCCCGCCCCGGTACTAGAGAGCCCCTGGTTCCCCTCCGGTGTCCCCCATGGTGTTTGTAACCCCCAGGCCCCTCGGTACCAGGCAGATGCCAGTGACCCCGTTGGCCCGAGTGTCTCCGTTGGCCCGAGTGTCTCCCGGTACTGCACAGAAACAGCCAGTCCTGGTTGTTTCCCCGGCAGCAAGAGCTGTCCGTGTCTTCCTGGGGTTCCATTATTCCCCAGTACCTGCAGCCCCCATTGCCCCCCATCCCTTCTCACCTCTGTGGTCCCTGTCCCTGACTGACTCTGAGTAATGGGGGGATGGGGGGGTCTCACTGAGGTGTTTCCTGGTACCCTTCCTGATCTTGTTCCCATTCCTAGTATTCCCATTTCCCATTCCCTGGGTGTACCTGCTGGTGCTGGAGCTGTACTAACAGCACAGCCCCCTGACTTTGGTCTGAAACTGGGGTTGGGGGTCACAGTGGGATGACCCTGCTCTGCAGCTGCAGAATTTACCATATAGGTGGAGGAATTTACAGCAAGGTGACCCCATCTCCTGTTTCCATTCCTGATGCTGTTCCCTTGTTCCCAATGTTGTTCTGGTTCCTGATTTTACCATTCCCAGGATGGGCCCTCTGGTGCTGGAGCTGTACTGGCAGGCCAAGACCCTAGCTTTGGTCTGAAACTGCGTGTGGGAGTCACAGTGTGATGACCCTGTCTCCAGTTCCCATTTCCAGTGCTGTTCCTCATTCCTGTTCCTGCTGTTCCCATTCACAGAATGAGCCTGCTTGTGCTAGAGCTGCACTGGCAACACAGCCCCTGGCTTTAGTCTGATGCTGGGGATGTGGGTATCACTTTGGGATGACCCCATTTCTTTCCCATTCCCATTACTGTTCCCCATTCCCAGTGCCTTTCCTATTCACACTACCTGTGTTCCCATTCCAGGATGGGCCCACTCGTACTGGAGCTGTACTGGCAACACGCCCCCCGCACCTGCAAGAACTTTGCTGAACTGAGCCGCCGTGGATACTACAATGGCACCAAGTTCCACCGCATCATCAAGGACTTCATGGTGCAGGGAGGGGACCCCACGGGTACCGGTGAGTACAGGCCTCTGAAATCTCCCTAGGACCCTCCCTGGTGCCAGCGATTCCTTCTGACCCCTGAATTCACCTGCAGGCCGTGGTGGCGCCTCTATCTATGGGAAACAGTTTGAGGATGAGCTGCACCCTGACCTGAAGTTCACTGGTGAGCGGGGCCAGCACTGGGAGAGCACTGGAGGGGCATACCCAGGAGCCAGGGACCCCACCTATAGAGGGGCAGGACCCCTGAGAACACACCTGTGGGATGGGATATCCCCTGTGTCCTCCTCCATGGGGTGACATGACTTCCAGCTTTCTAGTCATGGGTTGGTGTGTCTCAAGGTGGCTAGTCATGTGGTATGTCCTCCAGGACCCTGGCTGTGAGGTGGCATCTCCTGTCCCCACAGATCCCATCTATAGGGTGACAAGTCTGCTGTGTCCCCCAAAACCCCATTCATGGAGTGACATGACCCCCAGGAGCTTTGCCATGGGTTGCCCTGTCCTCTATTTCCCCATTCCTGGTGTGATGTGTCCCTGTGTCTCATAGACAGCAGGATTCTGGCAATGGCTAGCATGGGGCTGGACACCAACAGGAGCCAATTCTTCCTCACGTCCCCTAAGACCTCTCTATTGGGTGACATTTTCCCCATGACACTAGGACCTCAGCCATGGGTGAGACATGACACGTCCCTGAGACCCCATCCATGGGGTGGCATGTCCTCCATAACCCCCAGTACCCCATCCCTTGAGTGGCATGCCCCCCAAGACTCTGGCCATAGCATGGCATGTCCCTCAGGGTGCCAGGACCCTTGGCCCATGTCCCACAGGCACTGGGATCCTGGTGATGGCCATTATAGGGCTGGACACCAATGGGAGCAACCCAAGACCGAGACCCTTCTGTCAGGTGAAGAGTCAGGAGTCTGGCCATGGAGTGACATGTCCCAAGGATCACAGCCATAAGATGACTCCCTCCAGTATCCCAGACTTGGGGTGTCATGTTTGCCATGATACTGGGATTTTGGCCATGAGACAACATCTCCCATGGGATGACATCATGCTGGAACCTTGGCTGTAGGGTGACATGTCCCCTGTATCCATGTGGTGACATGTCCCCATATCTCACAGGTGCTGGGATCCTGGCAATGGCCAATGCAGGCCCGGACACCAATGGAAGCCAATTTTTCCTGACACTGGGCCCAGCACAGTGGCTGGATGGAAAGCACAGCATTTTTGGGAGGGTGTGCCAAGGAATGGGGGTGCTGGGGCGCCTAGCCATGGTGGAGACCAACTCCCAGGACCGACCTCTCGACGATGTCAAGATCATCAAGGCATATCCCTCGGGGTAGGGGTGTGGGGCACCCTCCAAATTGTACTGCTTGTTTGTAATAAAAGAGGTTGGATGTAGTGGGACCTCCCCAGAGTGGTTTTAGGGGGAGGTGGGGGAGGTGTCTTTGACATGGTGGGGGTTGTGAGCCCCGCCAAAGTGGTTTGTGGGTGCCTTTGGAGGGGCAGGTGTCTGTCCCTGGGAACATGGAGCTGCCAGTGGCCCCAGTTCCTGGGGGTGCAGAGTGGCTGCCACCAGTGGGTGCCCAAATTTACACCTATTTGTGGTGGCCAGGCTGGGTCCGTTGGTCTGACCCAGATGCCACGACTTTCCCAGAGGGAGTGGTCCCTGGCCACTGGGTAACCTCAGCGAGGGGGGCAGCCTCCGACTGCAAGTGATTTCAGCTCAGTGATTTCAGCTCTGCTTGCTAGGTTATCCTGGGCCGACTCAGAGACAGAGAGACAGGAGTGTCATGTGGCAATTCCACAGAGACAACCTTTATTGTCCAGCAGCTCTGCAAAGGGTAGCCAGGGACAGTGCCTCCCTCCTGAACTGGGCAGAAGCTGGGGTTTTTATGGGGGAAAGACAGGGTGGTACCAGGGGGGAAAACCAATGGGTTACAAAAGATCAACATCGTCACCAAGGCATGGTGGGATACCTCACCATCTAAGGGATATCTCTCCAGGAGAAGGTTGTGATATGCTTATCCCAGTTCTCTCAGGGCACATTTCTCCATGGAAAACCCTTGGCAGGCTCGTATGTGTCCACACCTACTGTGTGGTGTCTGCATGTCCTAAAAGTTTCCTGGAGCCTCCTGGAATGTGCCCCCACCATGGGCCTGTTGGATCACTAAGCTTTGGGTAGAAAGGGGGAATTGGTGCTGTCCCACCGGAGTGGGCTCCCCAGAAAGCACTGGGCACCCCTGAACTGGCAGTGGGGTCTGCATACTGGGTTCACCCCTGGCACTGGGTAACCCCCCAGCAATAGATGTCCCCCCTGACTCTCAGTGCAGGACCTGGGACAGTACTGGGAGCTGCTGGGTGTTACTGGAAAGGGTGCAGGGAGCTACTGGGGGGATAGCAGAGGACTGGGGGACTCTGCATCTGCAGTTGGTGGGGCTGTAGGGATAGTGGGAAGGTTCTGATTAAGGAGGAACTAGGGGGATTGGGGGCTCATCCTGAGGAGTGGGTGGTATGGAGAGTGTCACCATGGCACCGGGAGGCGCACCGGGAGGCGCACCAGGAGTATCGGAGCCGTGCTGGGGCTAATGGGGAGGGAGCACCGGGGGTCCGGTCTGGGGGTGATCCCGGGGGTGGTACCAATGGTCCATAGTGTACCGGAGGCAGCCTCGGGGGCAATCCCAGGGCAGCAGCAGTGGTCTTGGAGCGATCCCGAAGTTGATCCTTGGTACCCGCGTCCGGGGGGCACTGGGGATGGGGAGGCGGAGTGGGACACCGGGGGCGATGCGGGGGGCGGCACCGGACATCTGAGGGTGATGCCGGGGATCTGGGGACTATCCCGAG